GCCACGTACCTGCCAGACCACTCTTCTCCGTCCATCTCTCGCTCCAACTTGACGATTCCCGGCGGTTCGAGGCCCCACCATCCTTGCGCCAGACGACCCACCTCCAGCAGGCACAGGACAACGCCGCGGGCTCCGCTATGGCACACTGTACAGAGAGGGAAAAGGGGGAAATATGAATTAGTTGCGCTCTATTTAAGCATTTAGGCGTATTCATGTTAGGAAATGTGTGTGCTTTTTTAAAGATATAAGTGTGGATATGCGTGATGTTAAGATCTGTGTAATATCAGGGGTTTTGGGATTAGTTGGATGACACGCGAGGCTAGGAAAGGAACACATGGTGTGGCAGAGTAACATGAACTGAATATGTTTATATGGATGACACGTGGGAAAGAAGCATAACAAACAAGGTTAAAACAAGCAAAACGCAAAACAAAGCCATCAGAACGTAACACATTAAGCGCAAACTCAAAACAAAACATGTACCTGCAAATCATCAAACGATTCGACGACGAAATCTTTCATAACAATCACTAAGAGTAACTAAACGAAACATCATGATAATAAAAAGAAGAAAAGCGCATTCTCGTAAAACATGAACCAACTACACGACAGGAAATTACAAAACACCAAAAAATAACATCAAATCGCACGTTCGAAGCACCAGCAGCACTTTGAGACGCAGACGAACTCCAAATCAGGTGCTTCAGAACACACACGGGAAGAGGCAAGAAACGTGACAAACGTTTGACACACGTTCTTACGAAATCCCCCAAGGCCAATGGAACAACACTCGGATTCAGCGTTAGTGTCAGATTGTCAGCGTTCACCCTTATTTCCAGTCATGTTACGTGTTGGCAGTGACGCATCTAGACCCAGCTGTCGTCGAACTAAAACGGGGTTATGTGCGCGTGCGTGTGTGGCTGCGTTCGGTTCGCCTTATGCAAGGCATTCGCAAAGAGCAACGGCCATCATTACAACACTGATTTACGCAAGAAATTAGCTGTGTCTGAATGCTTATGGAAATTGCACATTTTCGAGGAGTTTTCTGGGTTAAACAGATATTTTCGTTTTGCTTTGATGAAGACGATGGCCAATATAGACAGGACTGAAGAGGAGAAGGAGAAGGACGAGAAAGAAACTAGTAAGATCTAATACGGTATAATATTAATAAGATATGATTAATAGGGTACCCTCGTTTCTTCCACAAATCCCTGCGAAAGAGTAATTAACAGCTCAAAAAGTGCACGAGTGATGCTGGACTTTTCCAAAATCAAAAAGACCGCTCCAAAAATGGGATTTCTACTCTCAACTTTATTTTATCTAATTGTTCAGTCATTTCGTTCCATGGACGTTGTGATTTTCTTTTTACGTTCCATTCCTCCTTTGCCTAAATTCTCGCCTCAGTGCTCAGTTATGAAGATTAATGGAAGGATCACTTGCTTGAAAACATATTAATTGGCTACAAATCACCCTTTCCCATACACACACACAAACACACACACACACACACACACATATATGTGTGTGTGTGTGTGTGTGTGTGTGTGTGTGTGTGTGTGTGTGTGTGTGGTGTGTGTGTGTGTGTGTGTGTGTGTGTGTGTGTGTGTGTGTGACAGATATAAATATACCATACAGAAATCGGGCAAGGATATAAGTAGACCAGCCATTGAATTAGAATGCGGGGGTGTGTCCCTTAGCGAGACCTGCCGTATCTTCCCAGCGACAGAAATTCGAAGTTCTTAAGATTTTTTCGCCAGTGGGTCTTGCTGGTGCTGCGTACACGTCTCCGTCTTTGTTAAGGCTTCCTGTGCTTTTAAGATTTATACACACATATGTATGTGTGTATGTATGTATGTACATGTCTATGTACGTGTATGGATATATATACATACATACATATATATATATATATATATATATATATATATATCCATACACGCATATACTTCTCATAATTTGTTTATTCCTTTTTGCTAGTTTTCTTTTCTGAAACACACACGCACGCGCGCGCGCCCTCCTCACCACACACTCAAACCCAAAGACGTCCACGTGCACTCCCTCATATCGCCTGTCTTCAACTTCCACAAACAGTTGCCTCCAAAATAGAGAAGAGAGGTTCCACAAACTTCTTCGCTCACAGTTGTTCGGGCTCAGAAGTCTAAGTCTGGAACATTCTCGAAAAGTCTCGAAGTTCCGGCTGGCGGAAGCTTGTTGGGCCGACGCGAAAGTAGCGTTTTGGCTTGGGCGCGGGGAGGCCACTGTTGTTGTTTGTTGCTGCTTTGGGGCTTTCGAAAAGTACCGTTTTACTCTTTTTTCTTTCTTGTAATACTTCTACATGTGGTCGTGTTATACTGTGGTTAAATTCAAGTTTCTATTATTTTAATTGGCAATGTAGATATGACGTTAATTCCCCTTTATTTGTTTATTTGTTTAAATAACACCACGTTTCCAGATCGTTATCAGTAAAGTTAATGCACAGTAGTAGCAGTAGTTGTATATTATTATTTTCATCACCATATTCATTATCAGCCTAGAGTATGGCCTCAACACACACACACACACACACACACACACACACACACACACACACACACACACACACACACACACACACACACACACACACATAAACACACACATAAACACACACACACAACACACACACACACACATACAACGCTGCCTTTTATTTTTCGAGTTCCAATTTCTTAACCTAAAAAGAGTAAATCCAAATTTCGCAAGGAGAAGGGGTCGGTAGTGCCGTTGGACTTACGACCTACTGGCTTCTGCAATGAATAATTTCTGTGGACCATCTGACACCGCTCAGAGGTCCTTGTCCACATGGAAACACTTTTAAAGGTAGACTGAGCTCACGTAAGAAAACCTGCACATACACACATACCCTATTAATGATAATGATTATAATGAGAATGATAACAGTGATAATGGTAATACTACTAACAGCAACGGCAATAAAACAATAATAACAACAATGATAATAAAGATAATAATAATGATAATAAAGATAATAATAACAACAATGATAATAAAGATAATATATCAACAATGGTAAGGAAAATAACAAAAGCAATGATAATTAGGCAGGATTCAGACAGGCATGTTCTCCCAAAATCTAGTTTAAAATATATATCTACCACAATTCTTTCCTAGTAACCAATATTTCTAGGATAAATTGCAAAGCCATTTAACTGAACCCTAAATCTGCATATACTATCAGCACTTGATCAACTGAAACCTGGGACAAGACCAACTCAACCATAATCTTCCATCACGTTCTACGAATAACATTGCACATAGTCTTTGTTATTAACTAAGAAACCATTCAATAAATGTCGGCAAAACCATTTCCTCCTTTTTCTATGATGGGATTTTTGACTGAGTAAGACATCCAGGAGAATGCTTATTAAAAAAAAAAGTTGAGACGAAAAATTAGGCTTGTGAAGGATATCAGCAACTCGAGTAACGTATAGCAAGCGAGAATGAATATTATGGTTCATACAAGTATTAGATAAATATATGCATTAGTTAGTATATTGTTCCCAAACAATGTGATACAAATCGTTGCTGGTATTGAGGCGAGAAATCTAGAAGCAGTTGAATGAATAGAAAGGAAAGATTTCTCGTTGAAGAAATAACCGTAAACATGAGAGGTAAACTGCGGGAATACTGACAAAGGAAACGCCCAAGTGAAGCTCAAAGTCATCGTCCCTCTTTACCGCCTGTTTGGGCCTCGGTTGAATCGGGCGTCGCGCGCTTAGTGGTTTTCTTTCCAGCTCCTTTCATCCTTTTCTTCACGCTACGGTTTTTATAGCTATAGATATTAAGGCGTTTACATGCTACTGGCAAAGGTCGAATGAAAAAAAGGAGGAAAAGCAGGAAGGCAGTGAACGTGTGCGAAGGATAAAAATGGCAGCTATTTTCCGAGGACAATAACGGGCTTTTTGGTAGAACGATAATAAGAAAGAATGCAAACATAAAACAGTGAATGCAATATCACTTCGCTATCGAAAAAAACTAAAGAAAATGCCAATAACCGTAAGGACAGAAAGAAAGAAAATGACGTTAACATATACAACCATAAATTGCTGTCGATTTGAATTCCAAACAAAGCTTCCGATAACGTTTATCCTCCCAATACAGACCAACGTTTTCGGTGTATCTAAAAGTCTCAAACGGCCACCTCGGAATCCAGGCCGTCGGCGAATGGCGGAGTTGCCACTTCCTCCTCCATGCCAACTTTGCAAGCCCCGTTAAGTTCGCCCTTTGTTCAGTGATTCTCCCTTTGTTCAAGACCTGAATTATGTCCTTTCCTTATTACCTATTTCTACACGCCTTCCTTACCCCTCTCTCTCCTCGCTAAGCCTTCTCCTTCCCCTCTCTGCCTTCTTTCCTCCTCTCCTTGACCACATCCCCTTCCCTCCCTGCCCCCAACCCCAGCCTATCCTTAACCCTTGAACCCCTGTCCCTTAGGGCCTCTTGCCTAATGGAAGCAGAGAATTATAGGGTCAAACTCTCCAACTCGGAGTTACTTAATGAATGCATAAAGAGAGGGCCTTAAAGAGCCAGACGCGACGCTAGATGGGCGAAAAAGTCTCGAAATGCGCCCTTGAAAAGCGAAGTCGTCGCCTTCTTGTGGGAACAGCCGGGACATTACTTACGACGCTCCCGTTCCTTTGCCGCTGTCATCTCGAGGAAGAAAAATGGGGGGCGAGGAAGGAGAGGGTGGGAGTGGGAGGGTAAAGGTAGGTAGTGAGAGAAAGGGAGAAAGAAAGAAGGAGTAAAGGAAGATGGGTAAGGTGGGAAAGAGAGAGGAAAAGAAAGAAAGGAAAGGATAAAGGGAGAGGTAAGGAAGGAAAGAGAGAAGGAAAGGATAAAGGGAGAGAGGTAAGGAGGAAAGAGAGAGGTAAGGAGGGGGAGAGACGGAGAGCGAAAGTAAAAGCCCTTTTTGCCTCCAACGACTTTCCAGATTGTTCCGGTACGCTGAGTGTTTAAAAAGGGACCTCTCTTCTTAAAAGCTAAAGGGAACGTGACGCCGCCAAACTTCTCCTTCTCCTCAAACACATTCAAACGAATTCTTCCTTTCACTCCTGGAAGAAATGTCACACGGATGATCTTCACATCCCTTCGACTTCCACGTTCGGAGGCACGGAAGGCACCGAGACCCTTTTCAGAGACAAGGCCAATCTTCCTTTTGAACTTTTCAATGTGGAGAATCGTCGCCGAATTATTTTTAGCTTTAATTCCTAGGGAGCAGACACCGAGGCAAGAAACGCCCATCCCGAGCGGCCTATCCCAGCCCTCGCGCCTCTCTAACTGGCTCTATTCATCAATCCTGCATCCTCTGCCTTCAGCCCAGCACGAAATGAACTTCTCGACACACAATGGAAACTTACGCGACCTCATAACTGCAAGAAAATGTTTCATCAGCCGTGAAGGAACTGGGCTTCCGCAGTGTGGCGGTGTGAGTGGCCGCTGAGGGCGAGAGTGAGAGGCTGGCTGTTTGCGCGCGCGTGTGCTGCGTTCTTTGTCTGTGCCTGGGTTTGTTTAAGAGCTTGTTTTCTTGCGTGTCTGTGCCGTGTTTGTGAGTTCTCTAATAGGTAACGCGTCAGAAAATATTCGCAAAAACCGACGATTGGTAGCGATGGATTCCTCTCATTCTCTGCTATCCATATATATTGAAACTTTGCCGCTGACCGCCCCCCCCCCCTTTAACACCGATAGCAGGGGAGGGCATGAAAGGTACCAGGGAAATTGCGGGGTAAAGTATGTATAGAATACAGTAAATGCGTAACTATTGTACTAATACAAAATGAATAAGTCACTACATTGTAATAATACATTGCAGTGCAATGTTTAATACCTTTTAGTATACGTGTGAGCGTGTTTGTTGATTCTGCTACGTGCCTTCAACCCATGACCAGCCGCAACTTTATCTGTCGGCATTATCCCCCCCCCCTCTCTCTCTCTCTCTCTCTCTCTCCTCCCTCCCTCCCTCCCTCCCTCCCTCCCTCCCTCCCTCTCTCTCTCTCTCTCTCTCTCTCTCTCTCTCTCTCTCTCCTCTCTCTCTCTCTCTCTTCTCTCTTTCTCTTTCTCTTTCTCTTTCTCTCTTCTCTTTCTCTTTCTCTCTCTTTCTCTTTCTCTTTTTCTCTCTCTCTCTCTCTCTCTCTCTCTCTCTCTCTCTCCCTCTCTCCTCCCTCTCTCCCTCCCTCTCTCCCTCCTCTCTCTCTCCCTCTCTCTCTCCCTCTCCTCTCCCTCTCTCTCTCCCTCTCTCTCTCCCTCTCTTCCCTCTCTCCTCTCTCTCTCCTCTCTTCTCTCTTCTCTCTCTCTCTCTCCCTCCCTCCCTCCCTCCCTCCCTCCCTCCCTCCCTCCCTCCCTCCTCCCTCCCTCCCTCCCTCCCTCCCCTCCCTCCCTCCTTCCCTCCCTCCTTCCCTCCCTCTCCTCCCCCTCCCTCCTCCTCTCCCTCCTCCCTCCTCCTCCTCCCTCCCTCCCTCCCTCCCTCCCTCCTCCCTCTCTCTCTCTCTCTCTCTCAATAGTAGAATATTAACATCAATATCACGACTCCAATCAAAGTCAGCCAAAAGCACGAATAAGCATAAGCATCTTTCAATACCCCGAAGTCCACTGGACATGCATGCGAAGTGGACAGAGATCCGCGAAGTAATAAAACGTCACGCCTCGCAGCCGGGTCACTCACGGCGATGCAATAACGTACAAGATGGACCGAACATCTTTTTTGGCGCCCTGCTGTGACGTCATGCTTTCGCGGCTCTGCGTCAGGGGGTGGAAATACGTGACCCGGAGAACACGCGTCGACCTTGGTGTATTTCTAGCCTCGTGTGCTCCGGGCGTCAACGGACAAGCGTTTCGTCCCGCCACCTTTTGAGCGCCATCCAGGAGTGTGACTTCTGACATCTATCAATGTGGATCCGTGACGTCATTCTATGGACGATCGTTCTCCTTATCCTCTAAATACTCTGAATATATTCTCTTTTATTCTATTTTTCTCCTTTCTCTCTCTCTCTCTCTCTCTCTCTCTCTCTCTCTCTCTCTCTCTCTCTCTCTCTCTCTCTCTCTCTCTCTCTCTCTCTCTCTCTCTCTCTCTCTCTCTCTCTCTCTCTCTCTCTCTCTCATCTCATCATCATCACAGCTTTTGAATGCTCTTCTCTCTCTCTTTCTTCACATAACCGGCATCTATTATGCCCCTTCACTATTCCAGTCTCTCCCCTCCCCCCCCCCATTTCCTCACAGTTCACATTACTGTATGCCATGCGCAGCGCCTCATTATCTCGTGCCATATCCTCTAGATCTCATTAAATCTCTCTGGAAGTTAATATGCATAATCATTCTTCCAATATTGTCTGGTGAATTATCCTCACAGCCACCGAAACTTTCCCGGAAATCATGCAAAGCATTTTTTTTCTAAAGTGATTTGATAAAAAAATATTTTTTGTGGGGGAAGTGTGTATAAAACTATTAGAATTTAAAATTAAAGCCACAGACTCCAAGCACTGAACTATTAAGGACGGGACTGTCAAAGAGAACACTGCATTGGCCATACGCGTTAGGGGAGTGAACACCAGGGGGGGGGGGTAACAAGGCATATTTAGTGATGTTCGAACACATACACGCACATATCCATGCGCACGTACACGCATGTACATTCAAATTCAAAAGCCTTTGTACAAATATGAATATAAATAGAATACTTATCTTTATGACATATAAAGGAACATGTACGCATACATACATGGCTCGGGAGTACACACAGACACAGTCAACCACGCACATGTTTCATGTTTAATGGTGGACACTTTACTTTTAAATTCATAGTATTATGGGATAAACTTTATCAAGTTGAAAAAAATCAATTTATGTAGCATACACGTGTTCATTTCCATTTAAGCTAATGTATAATAAAAATCCTGATATCTGGTGCCACACGCTTGCCATTCTGCTTTCGAATGAAATTTCGAAAAGTAAATTTTGGTTTATAGACACGAGAACAATACATTCTGATATTACTGCCATCAGTGTTCATATTTTACATAGCAATTCCCAGTTTCTCAGCTATCTGAAAATTCATGTTTTACAGCATTCAGTCCTACATCACTCTTTTTTAGGTTGGCTCTTGGCAAAAGGCATAAAAAATGTACAAATAAAGTTTCAGTTCCCTGGACAACGAACAAAAAACAATACTCCTGGAAGCTTTCGTTTCCATAAATCTCAAATCATCCTTCTAATTCTCTGTAATTCGAATCTAGGCGTTGCTGCAGTATGTGCGGAAATAAATCTTGTTTATAAGGGTTTCATTGAGCGCATAATGGCCTAAACATTGATCCCTGCAGGTGGCCTCCCAGCCTACCTAATTGCACATATGCAGGCAGAGCGGCAAGGCCCAAAGACTCCCCCCCCCTTTCATGGCTTGCATCACGCAGATATAGAACACGCACAGATATGGTTATATATAGAGAGAGGAAGCTGCACACACAGACACACACACACACACACACACACACACACACACACACACACAACACCACACACACACACACACACACACACACACACACACACACACACACACAACAAGCACACATAGACACATGCACACAAAGATGAATAACTCTCTCCAACCTCTTCCCTTCCCCTCTACCCCCTCCCCCCAAGCCTTCAGGCTCATGAAATCCTCAATCATTTCTGGAAAATAACTGACCTAAAATTATCACGCGCGAATAGAGAAAAGAGAAAACGGTTTCTTATAGAAAATGGGCGATAAAGAAAATGGGAAATGGTAACAGCTGAAGAATATTGTGTTGATGGGAGGTTTAGTAAGGTTTTTACGAGGTATGAACCATCACTCGCCCATCTCCGGGCAATTGGAGAAAAGAAGGAAGAGGCGCGGGAAGGAACGATGAAGGGAATGGGGACTTGAAAGAGAAGGAGAAGAAGAAGAGAAAGAGAGATAGAGAGAGAAGCAGAGAGAAAGATAGAAGACAATGAGAGAGAAAGAGACAGGCAAAGGACATTACATAGTGTGTGGGTGTGTGTGTGTGTGTGTGTGGTGTGTGTGTGTGTGTGTGTGGTGTGTGTGTGTGTGTGTGGTGTGTGTGTGTGTGTGTGTGTGTGTGTTGAAGGTGTACTTACACTTCCATTAGCAAGGACAAAGTTATGTCTTACGTGCGTTGACTTCCCTATGAAGTGTTATTGTTTGTTTTGATTTTTACTCCCCAATGTTTTTTTCCTTTTTTGTCTTCATTTTTCTTTTCCCCTTTCCCTCCCCTCTGTCTTCTCCTTTCCCCTTTCTCTGTGCTTTTCTCCTGTTTCTTTCCCGGTCTCATCTTCCTTCTCCAATGCCTTTCCATTCCCCTACTGTGTCTCTTTTCCATTGTTTTTTTTCTTTCCGTATTTATGCCTCCTTCTCCCCTATTCTCCCGTTCACTCTCTCCCTCTCTGTCCCCTTTCCTTACTTTCCCTTTCCCTCCTCCCTCTCCCCACTTCCTTGCCCTCTCTCTCTCACTATTCCTTCTCCTTCCTTTCTCTCTATTCCACTTCCTCCTTTTCCCGCAGCTTTCCCCCTATCCATTTCTTCTCTCTTCTTCTCTCATAATCCCTTTCTCTCCTCTCTCTCGCCGTATTCCCTCCTTATTTCCTTTATCTTCTATCGTTCCCTATTCCATTTCCCTCCTTTTCTCCCTTTTCCCTTTCCTCCATTCTCTATATTACCTTGCCTCCTCTTCCTCCTTTCCTCTCATCTTTCTTCCTATGCTTTTCTCTCCTCTTCTTTCCTCTCCCCTATCTTTCTGCCCTATGCTTTTTCTCTCCCCTTCCTCTTTCCCCTCATCTTTCTCCCTATGCTTTCTCTCCCTTCCTCCTTTCCCCGTCTTTCTTCCTACGCTTTTCTCTCCTCCCTTCCTCCTTTCCCCTCATCTTTCTCTTTCCCCTATGCTTTTTTCCTCCCTCCTCCCTCCCTCTCCCTCATCCTTTTCCCCTATTCCCTCTCCCTCCCTCCATCCATCCATCCATCCCACCCTCTCTCCCTCCCTCCCCCCTCCATCCATCCTTCCTTCCTTCCTTCCTTCCCTTCCTTCCTTCCTTCCCTCCCTCCCTCTCCCTCCCTCCCTCCCTCCCTCCCTCCCTCCATCCATCCCACCCTCTCTCCCTCCCTCCCTCCCTCCATCCATCCAATCCATCCCACCCTCTCTCCCCTCCCTCCCATCCTTCCTT